CAGACTGGCATGGCTCCTTTACCCCCATGCAAGTGCAGTAGTATTTCTCAGCCTATCACTTTTATTGTACAAAATCCTCTCATAATCCCGAAACTCACTCTTTTCATACCCTTATAAGAGTTTGATAGGGTACTAGATTTCAGTGAAAGTTCATTTGCCTTTGGTTTTTTGTTATTGTATTTGTTTCAAAAATCTCTTTGTCATCATTTTCACATTCTGTTTCCATTCAAACAAAGAGCAGCTTTAGATGGGGAAAGAAAAGGTCAGAGGTTACTTAGAGCATACCAAAGAAAATAAAAGAGTAGCACATATACAAATGTTTTCATCATTCTGGCCTGATTTTGCAATCTGGGACTATGCTCAGCTTTCACTAACATCACAACTCAGGGCATGCATCCCACTTGCAATTGTTTTCAATAGAAGGCAAAGGCAGATAGTTCCTTGAGATACTCAATCCTTTACAGATGCTTTATAGGACCACAGTAACCACAGAAAGTCCACATCCGAACTCCATGCTATTTTCTCTCACAGATCAGAGCAGATTTGTTACTGATTTCAACGGAAACTGTGCAAACTATCTGAGGGAGTATTTAATTCTTCGTAACATGACATAACATAACAGTATGTTGCCATGAAACCCCTTACTGGGGCAGAACCCCACTCCCACACACTGAACCAGAGATCTGCTGTTGCATACTTCATCCCCGATTAACTGGTGGAGTTTCCCAGATGTTCAGCACCATGTACCAGTATAAATCGTGCCACTGCTGCTAAACTTAAGAACTCTACTTTCAAGGACCAATGATTTTCACAAGCAATAAAGCTGAACGTATTTAAAGAACATCTACATACAAGGTCAAATACATCCAATATCCCCTTTGGCAGTGACTGAAGAGTGTATGTCAGTGTTTAGGGACTGGAAAAGACCTTTGGAAAGACTTGGAGAAGTTCCTTTATTTTAGGAAAAAGGCAAAATATTTTCTTCCCAAAGCCGATATTTTCAGCCCTCTTATCTCTGCATGCTGAGGTTTTATTTTCTTTCATTTTTCAAAGTGCAACTGCCTATAGAGGTGCAGGATCACGGCAGGATGCTTGCTCTTTCCCTCAGACCTGGGGATATTCCCAGTTCACAAGTTGACCCAGCAAGAACCTGTTTAGGAAGCTGTCAAATTAGTGCTCCTGAACCCCATGGCTCCATGTGCTCATTTAAAATGCTTTTTGCTAGATACAGCAGTACAAGATCCAGAACAAAGAGCTCTTACGTATGTCCTAAGAAGTTACATTCTTGAAAGCTGTGCATGGTCCTGGATCTGTATTAAATTTCTCCTAAGGTTTACCATCCAGTCATCATGAAATCCAATCTCAAAAACTTCATATGTTCTGGAAGTGGGTCCCATACATAATCAGTCACGGTGAATTACTCACCGTGCAAATGTATGTAAATTCATTCCCACCACTTAATCCAGAACCACAGATAGAGCTGAAAGTGTGCCTTGCTGAACAAGGAATATAAAGGAGTGGCGGCTATCTTGCTTAGATTAACTTTATATGCCAGGCACAGTTTGGTTTTTTGATTAATATGATTCTGCGAGAAAAAAACTGAGTGAGTTGTGGAGCATCTGTGATGCCTCCTTTATTTATTTATTTTCCAAGGTCCCATAGTTTCCACTTCTTTCATTTACTGGTATTTTTAGTGTGCTCAGGAGTTATTTGGTAAGATATTCAAGATTTCTAGTGGGATTTCTTCATAATGGACAGATTCTTTCTCTTCATAATGATAGCTGAGTTTCTTGAGAGCAGAGAGACACTTTGTTCTTTGTTCTCAAGGAGACAAACTGTTATTTCTTTCCCTGAAGAAGCTTCTAATATGATGGGTGAAATATCAGGAATAATTAGACCAAATGGTGATGTAAATCCCACTAGAAATGGTGCATCCATTATTTCATTTTATGCCTATCGCTCCAGTTTCTGCCTGATTTAAGTCCACGTGAAGAAAGCTGTGGGTATTCCCTTTATAAGAACTACAATAAATTTCTTCATTGAATATTTACTAGCCCTGAGTTGCTCCTTTTTTGTTGGACCATCATTACACAATTAAAAAATAAGAAGGTAATTTAGCTGTTTCAAGGGCTGGTATTGCTTAATTTCAAGGGAGGGGGGCTGACAGTTGAAAGGTTAATGTATTTCACTGATTGGGCCCCTGGGGTTCATTTTCTGAAAAAAAAAGCTCTTTCAGTTTTTATTAAGAAACTCATGTAATGAAAAGGGGAAAAGCTTCCCTCACTTGGCACATGCGAGACAGTGACTGCGGGAGCCCAGGTTTCTCTTCCTGGCTCAACACGCAGTCATCCCCTTTCCCTCCCTTCCCTGGATCAAGGGGAGGGAGGATGTGCTCTGGGTTTGGCATGGGCTTTGCTGTGTCCTGACCCATCAGCACAGTGTCCCTGTGGAGGGACAAGTCCTGCTGGGAGTGACATGGGGACTGTGTGTTGTCCTTGTCACAGCTCTGGGGATGAGCAGAGGAGTGAGGGGCCCTGAATGCTGTGTGAGCTATGAAAGTCCCAGGAGCAAAGTTGCTTATAGGTGCCCATCTTGTAGGGCTGGGTGCCATGGACACCCTGTAGTGACCCAGGGGGGCCTGTTGGCACAAAGTCCATCTCTTTTGGCTCCAACAGAGTACTCTGGCTTCACAACCCGACCAGGCTGCAATGTTGTGTTGGTTGACCAGGAGGAACACCTTCTGCCCACCTGTGGCTCAAAGGCTTCATTGACCTCTGGCCTCAGATCAGAAACGTAAAATGAGTAGAGTACTGTGGGGAATGAGAAGTTAAACCAAAAGAAAACTCTGTCTGCATTTTTCTTGAGTTTTACCATTGAACCCACCCCCAGACCCTTTCCCTGCAATGCTCCTCTCCTCTGCCCCTGCTCGCTGTTTGTTCCTTAGCACAATCTTGAGCAACAATTGACAAGCAAATGGTTGTTTTTTTAAGGTTTAAGCAAATGCAGGGAAATACCCTCTTCACACAATTAAATGCATTCATGCTAACACAGCCTTATGATTCACACACTCACTGAAAAGCTGATAGCGACACGGTGTTTTACAAGATAACAATGCTTCATACGAGCTTGGCATACATGTGCTAACTATTAGTAGGGAGAAGAGATATCAGTTATATAAATTACTCAGTGTTGGTTATTCCTCACTGCAGTTGCCATGAGAAGTTTCTTGAGCCGAGTGTGAGTGGACTAAGTCTTTCCCATTAGGTAAGTTAGCATGCAAGTGGTATTGTTTGACATAATTTAACTTGCCTGATTTTAATATCTGCATCAGAAGATTATAATCCACTATTTGCAAAACTTCCATAGTGCTGATGTCTCTGGCTGATATTTTTATTTTAATGAAATCCCTGAAACTCAACATTTATAGGCACAATAAGGCAGTAAAAATATAAAATAGAAATAAAATAATTTGCTTGGGTTGGAAAATTCTGAACATTGCAGAAAGGCTTAACAAAATAAAACAAAAATGTCTCTGTCTTCAAGCATCTAGAAGAATTGTAAGAATGTCCCTTTATTGTCTTTTTTTTGTACCCCCTATAAAAATTGTTTCCCTCTCAGCCCCTAACGAGATGTTTTTAGCAGCTTGGCTATCCCAAATTACCGTGTGAGATGGGCATGAGGAGTAATGTGGTTTTAGCTTGGGGAGTTGTGCTGGGGCTGGAGTCTGCGTGCGCACTGGGGAGGGAGGCAGGGTCGGAGCGCTGCCTTTGCTGTCGGGGACTCTCTGCTGGCTTTTGCTCTGTTTATTGATATGATTTCTAGATTGAAATGGCTTCGGAAATGGGGATAGAAAAAGTTCTGTCTCTCACCTACAGTGAAGAATTTGTATTATTTTATTTTCACAAAATTAAATTGCACAGAAAGGAATGAGAAAAATTATATTTTATTAAAGAGAGAGAAAAACCCCCGATTACTTAAATAAACATAAAAGTAACCAAAAAACCCAGAAGAACAGGCATATCTACACATCCAGTTGAAAAATACTTTCAAAATTCATGCAGATATTTTGAAGTTAATACCTTTCTGATTCCTAGTTTGGCTGTACTAGATTCATGGAAGTATAATGCCTTTGTTTTCTGTAGCCTGAGCTTCAGAAAAGGATTGCAGTTACATGGAGAAATCCCATATCCTGCTTATCTTTCTTCCATAGATGTGATGGTGTTCTAAAAATAAATATGTTAAAATTCAACATATCCATAATCCTGGAAAAATTATTTGTAACTAATGGATAATGATGACCTGGGTAATTAATGGAATAAACAGAGAACTAAGATAAAGCTGTGGTAAATTTTGGTAATGAGCCACATTCAAAGAAACCAGATGCCTATATGCATCATGTAATACAAGTGAGTGTTTTTTTTATAGTTGTTGGTGTTAATTTTAGAAACTGTTAAACACCCTGAATCGGATGACTGAAGAAATGCTTGTTCCAAATGCTGAGCTGTCGTCCCTGGCTCTCATCTCCACATCCAGTGAACAGAACCTAGGAAGAAACTGTTATAAAATCCAACCAAAGATATTTCACCTTTTCCTGCAGCCCTCCACTCACCATCTCAGTGCAGCAGGAATCTTGAACAGCTGTAGAAAAGCCTGTTTTTCAAGCTATCACGAACCCAGTTTTCTCAAACAAAAATAGTTTGGGTTTTTCTTCTAAAAACAAAAAAAAAAAAGGAAAAAAGGAAACACTACAGTTTCAAAGATTTGAAATGAATGTACAGAAAAAATATAGCTTTTGTTCATATTTTTAAATACAGTCTAAATAACGTCTGAAGAAATAGTTACTACAGCTTTAAATATCGGTTGCCAAGTGGTAATTATATTGTTTAATTTTAAGTCATACGATAGAGTTATACCACCTGACACTGCAAACATTACGCACAAACACTTTTTATCATGAGAGAATGTTATTTTAAAATGTAAAAAGCATCTTTAAAAGCAAATTAAAAAATCTATTTTTATTATGGATGTGAACTTTTCTTATCTCCTTTTCTGAAACTTATGGGGAGCTCTGGATTGCACTGCCAACTCATCGTGGTGAATAACCCCTAAATTTAGCTTTATAGAGTAAAATATGTTTATATAAACATATTACTCTATTGATACAAAGCTGAAAGTTTTTTATGGGTATTAGAGTTAAATCAACTATCAGTTTTCTTCTAGGGAACTTCTGGTAGGAGAGGAGCTTCTCAAGGAGTAATCTTCTGTAAATCTGCAAAAACAGCAAATAGGTAAGGCAGCAAAATTGCTTAAGAATGGTAAACATTACCTTAAAATAAAATGGAAATCCCCAATAATCTAAAAGGCTGGCATGTTAATAACGCTTGAAATAGTTTATGATCTGAAATGTAGCTATGCATTATTCTGCCCTTCCCTCCTGGTTATGGAGCTGTTGTTTACAGAGTGCCAGGGGCATTTCTGTCTCATTATCAAATACATAAATAGAAGAATATGCATTTAGCGGGGGATCTATTTTATTGTCAGTCTTCCCTTCCCCCCCTCCACCTTACACACTCATGATATTTCTTGATGTTTTCTCCTCCCTTCTGCAGCCTGTATATTTCTACAAAACTGTGTAAAAAAAGCATAAAACAAACAACATCTTCAACTAAAAGGGTACAATTTCTAAAGCAGGAGCTTTTTATTTAAAGCTTCGGAGAAACATTCATACTTAAGACCTTTCTCTTTTTTCCCCCTCTACGTGAAGCATTTTTTTATGTAAGCTTATAATTTCCTTTAAAAGCTATGTTTAATACTTGCCCTTTTTATTTTTAAATGTTCGGAGGGGGGGAGGAGGTATCTTTAATGCTAAGCTGTGCTGTGTATTTTTTTAGGAACTAGCATCCAGCTCCTGGGTGACTCAGTGCAGAGGCTCCTGAGGCAAGTCAGGGAAGCCAGGAGCATTCACTCCAGCATTTGCCCCAGTGACAGGAGTGGTTCCATTCCCTTTTCTCAGGCCATGGGTGCTGTAAAGGAAACTGAAATGTCTCTGATGGAGCCTTACTTGAGCAGGGAGTGCAGAAGCCAGCTTGTAATGCTGGGTTGGATTCAGAGACACCCCCAAGACAGTGGGCTCAGTGCTCAAGGGACGCTGACTCTGACCCCAGTGACTCTGTTCCTGGAATACTCAGCCTGGTAAATACCTCAGGCCCAGGAAAAAAATATGTTGAAGAAGAGTATTTCTCTGAGGAAAGACTAATGGGATCAGACCCTAAATTATTATCCTCATGATATCTCATAGATCAAACTATGGAAAATGTGGAAAGATAATTATTATATATATATATATGGTTTTAAGGTTAGAAAGTTAATGTCTCTCAGGTATTTTTTTTAAAGCAGTTTTTATGAATATTGAATGCTGTAAATGAAGCACAAAGCAAAAGCTGGATTTCATTTGTTCTGTTTTTGGTAAAGGATAGGGATTTTTTTGAATACTGGAGTTATTTCAGTTTTAGGAATTTAAAAACTAATGAAAAATCGTTTTCTTTCTGGTAGGTCGTGTATTCAATTGCCTCTCAGTGGGAAGTAAACGGAGTCAAGAGCGTTTTTCTTCGTTACTGTGAATGTCTACTGTACTTTATTTGTGAAAGTAAAGATAAGGAAGCTGTAACATAGTATTTGGAGGAAAACGTAGAATAAGGTTTGAAAATAACTACATACCTGAAAGCAATATATCAATATGAATTTAGCCTACAGGAAATCTTTACTCCTCTTTTTAGAATCTTTTTTTACGATAGGTGTTCAGAAAAAATACTGTATGAGAAGTGACTGTGACAATACGCTGTAATTCTTAGGTTTTTTACTTGTCTCGACGAAAGGTTCCACATTTATTTAGGTTTCGTATGTGTGCGTAAACCAGACCACATCTCTATTTGTATATCTCACTCTTGCTTTCTTAAATGATTTGCCTGCTTTCCCCTTAATTTTAGCTTGATCTATGCATTAAGAAAAAACAAACCAAACCAAACCAAACAAACAAACAAACAAACCCCCAAAAACCCCACAGAGGTATTTTCTTTATATGGTTAAACTTGTTAGCCTGGACCTCGGGAATGATAAACAAATGATAAGTGCGGTACTTTATCTAGGCAGACACATTCGGCTCTCGTTGTGCTGCACTGCCACCTTCCGTCCCCCCGGCCCGGGGCCGCCGCCGCCCGGCCCCGCCACTCCCGCAGCTCCGGGGAGAGATGGATTCATAGGTCTCCAAGAGCTTTCATTTCTATAATTCTGCTTCTATATTGACAGGCCCTTTACAAATAATTTGTTAGCAGAATCTCTGCATTAGCTGTATCATGGAGTTTTTTTTATTATTATTAGTATTTATTATTATTATTATTATTATTATTATTATTTTATTATTATTATTTTAAAGTAATTCTTGTTTTCAGGGTTTTAAAAATATTTGGCTCGAAGCTATTTATTCCCCTTAGACGGCCATATGGAAAGTTTGATTGCTGCTATTTATATTCTAAAAGAATTAATGTGTTTCAGACTGCTCCCTTTCACAGCAGCCCAATCCCAAGCTGAAGGAGAAGCATCTGGCACAATAGAAATTGTCACACCACAAGGCTGCAACTTCGACTGGTGAGACAAGGCTTCCCTTGGATGTGCAGATCACAGAGAAGAGACTGTTTAAAAGGACACTGCAGCTACAAGGCAGTGGCACAGCCATGCTGTTGCAGGCGATGAGGAGCCTCGATCTGCGGGAACCAAAGGCAAAGAGAAACACACTCCCCTGGTGCTAAACTCATTGTGTATCTGGCCAGAGCAACCTTTGCTTATTATATTTTGAGAGGAAATCCCTTAAACACACTGCCCGCTCAAGTCCAAGGCCGGTTACACTAATGGGGGTTCCCTAACTCATGTCTCATAATGGGGAGGTGGTCAGAAAGGAGGGGTGCTGGATCAGAAGGGGGTTGCTCTTGGGCTGCTGTCACAGCTCCCGGCTGATCCCTCCAACAGCTTTGGTCCAGGTGCTCTCCAAAAGCACAGTCCTCTTCACCACAGCCTTTGCTCTTTACTTATTGACTCCTCTTGCCAGTGGCTCTTTGATTTCAGGAGGTCGAGCGGAAGGAGAGGCAGAGGAAGGCTGGAGAGAAATGGGAACTCTTCAGCACAGGAGGTGGACCGTGTTTCTTTCATCTTTACCAAAGAGGAAGGAAAAAGCCTCAGGAGGGTATTCCCAGGGAGGAAGTAATTCCCTTTTCTTCCATCCAGCAGGAGGGTGCATCCTACCTTCAGCTCTCTGCTCCCTGGCTCCCCAGGCCAGCGGGGTTACATGCCGCCAGGTCTGACCACACCACCCCAGAACTCCTCCATGCTGAGCAGATTTAAAGGTCCTCACAGCCCCTTTGGGGTTTTAACAAGACTCACCACCCACTGCAGACTCTGTGGGATGGGCTGGGGATCGACACATGAGCTCCCCAGCATGTGCAAGCACACCAGCTTTGGGTGCTGGGACCCTGCCTCGTGTTGTCATTCTCGTTTTCTGAATAGTAAAAGAAAGCATCAATGTACCTCTGCCCAAGGCAAACCCTGGCAAAAAGCCATTGTTCTTCATACCATCATCTCAGCATCAGAGACTTGGAGGATGGAGGGGATAAACTTGGTTTATCCTGACCCCCTCTCCTCCAGAACAGAGCCTCTGCCAACAGCAGTAGCAGCAACAGCAGTATCAGACAGCTGTGAGTTCACCTCCCACATGAAGGCATTGCTTTGCTGCTTACAGAAACATTATTGTTACATACTAATTTCAGGTGGAAGAACTCATGTGTGGGCAGGCATTTCTCCCAGCATTAGAAGACCCTTTTAAAACAAAAATTAAAAAATCCCAAAACATAGAGATGACTCCCATGCCTGTTAGGTATCTACAACCATGCCTTGGCTACTACTGTTGAGAATCCAGGATTTTTCTGACACCCAATTAAATTAGTGTAATTGGGATAGAGTTGCAATTTCTTTGCCTCCAGCTGTGAGTCATAATCTGTTTAGCACCTGAGTGCTATTTCACTTTATTTTTAGTGCTTAGCCCATAGTTTGGAAAGGGAAAAAGCAAACCTACATGTCAGTCAGGATTTTGGGAAGGTGTAGATTACTTATCATTAATTTAAATGTGGCATTTAAATGTCCATTCACAGGTGGTTTTAATGCTTTTATTAACTTCTTTTTTGGACTTTGTAAGGAATACATTTGAAAAAAGAAATGCCAAGGACCTTGAACTACAGGCCATGCCAATAATACATTGCTGTTACTACATCATGGGAAAAAACTGTAAAACAAGAGAAGAGGTTCCAATGAGGGGAAAAAGAGAACTTTATTATAATAAGGAATGATAACAAAAATGAAGAAAAAAATTATCAGTACCTGGTCTTGTTTGGGCTACCAGTTCAGCCTACAGTACATTTTGAAATGATGAATTGGCTGGAGAGAAAAACATATTCCAGATGTTTTTTGTCTTTGTCTCCAGTATTTACTCCATCAGGCTTTATTCAGAGCAATTATTCAATGGAAATAAATGATATACCAAGTGTGATCTGTGCCAAAAAAATTACTGATTGTATCAGGTATAAAAGGGAAACTAGTACTGGGGAAACAGCTCAGGATAAAACACAAACTAACCAGAAACTTCATCTTCAGTTCAGATCCTTGGTTATGACTCAAACCAACCAGCCTCAGAAAAATGCCTCTGAATAGTGGTTGATGAAAACTGTGGGCAAAAATAATTGTGATGGATTGGGAAACCAAGGCCACAAAAGTGTTGATGTACTGGGGCTGGGAGAAGAGGGAATCCCCCCCTGCTGAAGTGGGGCAGAGAAACACCTGTATGAACCTGCTGTGTCCTGTTGTGTGGGGGTGGACACAGGCCTCAGTTTTGCTGGAGTCAGTGCTTGGAGACCAGTGCTGTGGAGCAGAGGGTGGAAGGCTAGGAGGCAACAATGCTGGGCTGGCTCCAAGGATGTGGGAAAAGGGTCTCTCCTGCCATGGCCAACGTAGCATTACACAAGAGACTTTAGTGCCAGATCCTCTGATTCATCCCCAACCTAAAGAGGTTTCATCTGAAATGAAGATTTACGGGCATCAGAGATGGAGTAAGTTATTAAGGTAAACATAACGTATTGACTAATAGGACATGTCTAGTAGTGTCCCCACAACCAAAGTGGTAATAACAGCAGGTCCATGCCCCTCCAGATTGTCTGTTACAAAAATAACAAATTTCACAACTCCTCAGGCAACTTATCTAAAGGGATGTTTATTTTCGCAAAGCAAGACTGAATGTCTTAAAAAAAGAGCCCCACCTCATCTTATCCATCTATCTACACTCACCAGGGTGAGGTTTACTTTAAAAACAAAATAACCGAAAGGTAATTGCACATAAGTTTAGCCTTAAGATATTTTAGTGACACTTACAGGGTGTGGAACAAAACCCCTGTCACTAAGTTGATGTCTCTAAAATATCTGCCAAAACAGCTCTTTAAAAAGGTATTTGCACCTTTATTTAGTTCCTTCTTGTGAGGAATGTTTACTGCAGTCCGTAGATGTGGTTATGTCATGTTTCCACTGTGTTTTCATTCAGTGTTGCTCTGTATTTGTGGTTTTCTCATTTGTGACAGTCTAGTAACTGGAGCCATTTGTACCTGAGCAAATAATATCAAATCTGAATACTTTATAAATATTTACAATATTTGGTGTGTCTCCCACTCACATCAAATGCAAAGTATAAAAAGCAAAAACAAACAGAAACAAACAGAACCTGTGTTACGTTATAATAAATATTTACTGTATGTACTATTGACTAAAGAGTCCCATACAGCTATTTAGGAGGCATTGTTTCTGTCAGGCTGTTCTATATTAAAACACTCTAAATGAAGCTGTTTGAGAATAAAAATGTGCATGTTAGGGAGTGATTGATGCATATGACTTATTTAATTTTTCTGGCAAGGGGAAGTGGTTCTTTTTTTCTCCCTGCACATGTGGGTAGTGAATTAGGCAGGAGCCTGGGACTTTCTGCCACAGCTGCAGAATTCATTGGAGTGAGGTCCCAGTGCAAGACTTGGGGGGGAACACAACTCTTTGGGCCTACTGGTTTTAAGCAGAAATTTCAATTGCAAACAATCTGCACTGAAGACAGGGCAGGCAGTGGCAGAGCAGCAGCCGTGTTCCTCATGTAACAAAGCCAGCCTGAAAACAGGGAGGAAAGAAATGTAAGGTTCATAGAATCATAGAATCATTCAGGTGGCAAAGGACCTTTAGGATGACCGAGTCCAGTCATTAACCCAGCATGGACAAGCCCACTACTAAACCATGTCCCTAAATGCCACATCCATACACCTTTTGAACACTTCCAGGGATGGTGACTCCACCACTTTCCTGGGCAGCCCATTCCAATATCTGACAACCCTTTTGGTAAGGAAATTGTTCCTAATATCCAATCTGAACCCTCACCTAGCTACAACTTTCTTTAAGGTAGTTTCAGAGAGCAGAAAGATCCCTTCTCAGCCTCCTTTCTCCAGGCTAACAAACCCCAGCTCCCTCAGCTGCTTCTCTGGACTTGCTCCAGCCCCTCAATGATCTTTCTGAAATGAGGGGCCCAGAATTGGACACAGGATTTGAGGTGTGACCTCTCCAGTGCCAAGTACAGGGGGACAATCCTGTTCCCAGTGGCCACACTATTGCTGATAAAGGCCAGGATGCCTCTGGCCTTCTTGGCCACTTGGGCACACACTGGCTCATACTCAGCTGCTGCCGACCAGCACCCCCAGGTCCTTTTCCTCCAGGGAGCTCTCCAGCCACTCTGCACTCAGCCTGTAGCACTGCAGGGGGTTGTTGTGACCCAAGTGCAGGACTCAGCACTTGGTCCTGTTGAACCTCATCCAACAGGCTTCAGTCCATCATTCCAGCCTGTCCAGATCCCTCTGTAGAGCCTTCCTGCTCTCCAGCAGACTGACACTCCCACCCAACTTGGTGTTGTCTGCAAACTTGCTGAAGGAACACTCTATTCCTTCGACCAGATCATCAATAAAGATATCAATAAGAAACAGAGAAGCATTGCAGAGCAGGGAGAAGGAAGCTCTTCAAGCCATTTGGTTTCTCTGATTTTGAGGAATAGCTTTACCAAGTCCTGGACAAGCAAGGACTCTTTAGAGTGTCATCAGATCCTACTCCAGGAGGAAGACTAGATTTGCACCTGAAGGCTTGGTGTCATGAAGGACCTCCAAAGTTTTATGAGTCCTCTTGCCTCTGCAGTCAATTTTCTCCTTTTGTTCCTCTCTCACGCAGGAGCTTTTATCTTTTCTTCTAAGACCATGGTATTTTTCTAAGTTACCTCTCCCCAAGCACCTCTAATCCTTTGACATATTTATTCATACAAGACTGCTATATCCCTTTTTCACTCAGACTGATGCATCACAGATCACTTTAAGCCTGGGATGGAGTTTGGGAGATCTGGGTTCAATTCTAGCTCAGCAGTGCCCTAGCCACCAGCGTGGCTTCCTCTTGTTTTGTCCATTCCTTGTCTGTCACAAATTGGCTTGTATTCTTAGCCACCCATCTGCAAAGGCTTACTGACTTGCTTAACTTTAAAGAAGTTTTTTGAACCTACATCCGTAAGCAAAGTTCAGTAAGCAGCTGTAATTTTCAACCCATAATTTGCCACAATTCAGCTCCAAGGCCAATGTTTTCTCACTGATTCTTCAGAGAGGCTCTGAGCAGAAGTGGTGTTCTTAGTGTTTGTGTCTCTCTTGAGATGACAGGAATAAACAATATTCAGAGGAGGTTTTCCTCTGCTCCACTCCAGTTAGATCCCTACAATGCAGCCCTGAGGGTTCCTGGAATTTGAGGGGGAAGGGTCCTTGGGTGATGGGCATATGAGCATCTTTGCAAATGGAGGAGCTCACTGCTGCAGGG